TGATAGGCAGATAAATTAGGGCTCGTGATCCAAGAAGTTCCCAGATTTGGGCATGTCCAGCAGAGCTTGTTGCTTTCTGTTTTCAACAGCTCCTCATCCCTCACTATTTGCAGAACTTTGTCCCAGGAGGGGTGGCACAGGGGGAAGGGGCGTTTTCAGATGTAGCTCGGGGAACTGCTTCGCAAAGCATATAACAGAACCCCCCCCCCCCCCGCTGCATGCACAGTACTGCCTATCAACTCTTCTCATCTGGGGCTTTTGCCTTTCATACTTCATTTATCCTCACAGCAGCTCTATTTAAAAATGCATCATAAGCTTTGCTTGTCTAAGAAGATAGACGAGATTTGAGTTGAGTGTATCAGCAGATATGCCAGGCATCATAAGCTCATGGGAGTTGACTGAACTAAAAAGTCTTCCCTGAACTGCCTATTTCACTAAACAGTGGAGCAGGGCTTGGGCAGTGGGAGTCGGACTTAGCCATTTTCAGGGCAAGAAATACTGTAAGCTTGCCTGCCTCTGCCTGACGTGCTCTCAACACTCCCACCTTCCGTTGCCTTTTAACCAGCAGGGTGCTGCCTGGTGCCAGGTTTGACCTGAGTTGGAGGTTACAATCCAAGATGAAGGACTTGCTTTTGGCTATAGAGGAAGCCATCTGTTAAGGAGCTAGTGATGAGGCTTTTGGTGGGGTGCCATTGCTCCTTTCCCTGTGTGTACAAAGAGTGAGTGTCTAATAGGCGAGCAGTGCTGAAGTGCTTAAATGCTAGATCCTTGAAATTCAATTACTTCTTGACTGGCGATTGGCAGCAAGGCCAAGACAGTGGTACGTTCTCTGCTCTTAAAATAAAAACTGTTTTAAATTTTTGGAGCGGAGAAAAGATAATTCTGCAAACTCTGTGCATGCATAGTCTGGGTTAAGACCAATTTGTATGTCCTTGCTTGGTTGCATACCTTATTTTTCTCATCTTGATGAGCAGATGCCAACTTATTTTGTCTTCTCTGCTTTTTAATTTTAATGGTTTGTTGTATATGATGCTTCTGTTGGTTAGTACTGTTTGTGGTGGTGGTGGTGGTGATGATATTCTTTCTGCCTGTTCCCATTATTGGTTCGTAAGGCAGCTTACTACATCAAAAACTTACACAGTTAAAAGCTTAATAGAAATACAACAAGTTAAAAATATAATGAATCAACTGGAGTATTGGCTAAGGTACTGTGGCACAACTGGGCAGCATAAAAATGTTTTAAATAAAGAAATTATAAAGCAGCAATCATATACAGTAGAGGTGACAAATAGATTTAATGATTAGGTCTGATAGACAGAGTACCTGAAGAACTATGGACAGAGGTTCGCAACATTGTACAAGAGGTTACAACTAAAACAATCCCAAAGAAAAAGAAATGCAAAAAAGCAAAATGGCTGTCTGAAGAAGCTTTACAAATAGCTGAGGAAAGAAGGGAAGCAAAAGGCAAGGGAGAAAGAGAAAGATACACCCAATTGAATGCAGAATTCCAGAGAATAGCTAGAAGAGATAAGAATGCCTTCTTAAATGAACAGTGCAAAGAAATAGAAGAAAACAATAGAATAGGGAGGACCAGAGATCTCTTCAAGAAAATTGGAGTTATGAAGGGAATTTTTCATGCAAAGATGGGCATGATAAAGAACCAAAATGGCAGAAGAGATTAAGAAGAGATGGCAAGATTACACAGAGGAACTATACAAGAAAGAGCTTAACATCCCTGATAACGGCAATGGTGTGGTCACTGACCTTGAGCCAGACATCCTGGAATGTGAAGTCAAATGGGCCTTAGGAAGTCCGAGCAACAACAAAGCTACTGGAGGTGACAGTTCTCCAACTGAGCTATTCAAAATCTTAAAAGACAATGCAGAAAAAGTGCTACACTCAATATGCCAGCAAATTTGGAAAACTCAACATTGGCCACAGGATTGGAAGAGGTCAGTTTACATTCAAATCCCAAAGAAGAGTAATGCCAAAGAATGTTCAAACTACCGCACCATTGCAGTCATTTCACATGCTAGCAAAGTGATGCTCAAAATCCTACAAGCTAGGCTCCAGCAGTATGTGGACCAAGAACTACCAGAAGTACAGGCAGGATTTCGAAGAGGGAGAGGAACTAGAGATCAAATTGCCAACATATGCTGGATCATGGAGAAAGCTAGATGGTTCCAGAAAAACATCTACTTCTGCTTCATTGACTATGCTAAAGCCTTTGATCGTGTGGATCACAACCAATTGTGGCAAGTTCTTAAAGACATGGGAGTACCCGACCATCTTATTTGTCTCTTGAGAAACCTATATGCGGGTCAAGAAGCAACAGTGGACACAGAAGCACTGATTGGTTCAAAATTGAGAAAGGAGTTTGGCAAGGCTGTATACTGTCTCCCTGCCTATTTAACTTATATGCAGAGCACATCATGAGAAAGGTGGGGCTAGATGAATCACCAGTTGGAATTAAGATTGCTGGGAGAAATATCAACAACCTCAGATATGCAGATGATACCACTCTCATGGCAGAAAGTGAAGAGGAACTAAAGAGCCTCTTGATGGGAGTGAAGGAGGAGAGTGCAAAAGTTGGCTTGAAACTCAACATTAAGAAAACTGAGCTCATGTCATCCGGTCCTCTCACTTCCTGGCAAATAGATGGGGAAGAAATGGAGGTAGTGAGAGATTTTATTTTCCTGGGCTCCAAGATCACCTCAGATGGGGACTGCAGCCAAAAAATTAAAAGACGCTTGCTCCTGGGGAGGAAAGCTATGGCAAATCTAGACAGCATACTAAAAAGCAGAGACATCACCCTGCCAACAAAAATGTGTATAGTCAAGGCTATGGTTTTTCCAGTTGCAATGTATGACTGTGAAAGTTGGACCATAAAGAAGGCTGAGCGCCGAAGAATTGAGGCCTTTGAATTGTGGTGCTGGCGGAGACTCCTGCGAGTCCCTTGGACCACAAGGCAATCAAACCAGTCAGTCCTAGAGGAGATCAACCC